CGAGCAAGGGGGGCCAGAGATAGGTCAAATCCACCCAAATGGCCCCAGAAGAGGTTTTTTTTTGCTAAATCTGTCTTAAAAGGTCAAATATCACTTGTTTTGCATCAATCTTGATACAGGGTACTTATTATATGTTGTACTTTGGATTCCTAAAGCTTTTAGTCTACTAACCCATCATCCAAGGTTAGTTTTCACTATAAGTACAACATATTTTTTGGACGGACACTAGAATTTACAGTTTTTTTACCATGTTCAATCTGAATTTTCTTTAAAATAAAAAACATCTATATTGATTCTGACTTTTCTACATCCAACTCACAGGTTTATCATTACTTTGAGAAAAAAGATTTTTAATTTAACCCTTTTAGAAGGGAATATATGGTCATTTGTTCTGGGAATGTCATTTTCGAGCTTGAAACCTGAAAAACAGGCTTGGGGCCCTAACAGGTTTAAACCGTATTAATTGGAATGTTGTCTGGCATATGCTGGTCGGGTCCTCGGCTCCACCTGAAAAGAGAGGGGAGTTATAGCGAGAGCGCCGAAAGTGTTTATGATTGTGTAAGATTGACAGCGGTTGAGATTAATCATTGCAAATAATATGTTTGAGCGTGTATATGTCATGACGTTAAGTTGCATTAATTGTACAAGTGTTCCCCGTCCCGTCTTATCTGTTACTGGTGATTGTGGTCACCTGGTGGCCTGTGTTGTCTCCTCTCCCCCCCACCTGTGTCTTATTGGCCTGATTAGTGTGTATGTATTTAGGCTCTGTTTTCCCTGTCAGTGGACAGGTAGTGTGTGTGAGATCCTTGTGGCTGCTGACTGTGTTCAGGTGGACAGCAATTGAGGCTGTGAATCATGTGCCCATGATTTGAATAGATGCGGGTTGTATTTAAACGCTCTGCCTCTGCCTGCTTGCTTGGTCGTGCCGCTCAACGGTCTGTCTCACAACCTTTTACCTATGAATACAATTTAATGTTTAACTGGCAACTGTTGGACTTTGAAATGTTTTAAACATTTGCCCTTATCACTACATGACTGATTGCCATGATTGCGTTTTTATTTTCTTTGCTGCACTTGTCTCATTACTGCAGTGAAGATTGTTTTAATTTAAAATATTTTTCTCTGTAGGTTTTGAGCCTTTTGGTGGCCATGCAGTGAACTCCAGCTGGGTGGCAGTACAGGTAATCCAGTTATCCATTTCAACAAAGGTGCATTTAAGCTCCTGAATAATCATTTAAAGACAGATGTACATTTTTGGTGGGTTTTCCCTCAACTCACTGTTTGCCTGCAAAGCCCTGTAAGACTGCATTTGAGTTTAACATATATACACAATTTTTCCCTGTGCTGACAGGAACTGGAGAAGTTAGGTCTTGGTGAAGCAGTAGACCTCCATGTGTGTGAGGTTCCTGTTGAATACCAGGCTGTTCAAGACCTACTGCCTTCCCTGTGGAAAGAGCCCCAGCCACAGGTATAGAAAACACACAATATTGTACATAACAAACACATTTTTCCACTATATTACATATGAAATGTTGTCATAATCCCTCACTTAATCCAAAACAACCCTCCTCTGTGTTTGGTCCTGTGAGCAGCTGGTGGTCCATGTGGGTGTTTCTGGGTTAGCCACCACTGTGACTCTGGAGCAGTGCGGCCACAACAAAGGTTACAAACGTCTGGACAACTGCAGCTTCTGCCCGGCCTCCCAGTGCTGCATGGACAGCGGCCCCGACTGCATACAATCGGTCCTGGACATGGAAACAGTCTGCAAAACAGTCAATGGCTCTGACCTCGGGGTCACTCTTTCGGTGTCCAAAGATGCTGGAAGGTTTTGTTTTATAGTTTACACACGTAGGTACATTTACACACTCACATACTCTCCTAGCAAAGGACAGGTGTTAGTCATAATGGAATAATGAATACAATGATTCAAATGAAAATAGATAGTGTGCTAATAAGATAAGAAAACTTTATTGTCCATTCCATGATGCAATACTGTGACAATATTCATGTTATTTATCAGTTGTTGCCATTGTTACAGGCAAATTAATTATTATAATTTAAAATATAACAGGATTACCCTCAATAAACCAATTTAGCATTGCAAAGCTTCCATTTTCATGCCTGAATGAAGGCCACAAACTTAAGAGTTTGGTCTGAAATGGACAAAATATTTTTATTTGTGTTTATTTTAAAACTGCATATACTATAAGTGTTTTGGCTTCTGCTTTGTGGATTTGGTTTGAGTTAATACATCTCTCAATCTTCATCTCATGAATACATATTCCCACCTCTCCTAGTCGAAATATCCTTTTTTTTCTCAGCTGGATAATTGCAAAATATGCATGATGATTAGGAGTGTTTCATGACTCATCTTGAAAGTCTTAACAGCTTGGTTTTCCATTAGTATCTTTATCTGTTTGGTCATGTTGACATGTGATAATACAGACAACCACTTTTGTTTTGGTGTATGGCAGGTATCTGTGTGACTACACCTACTACACCTCTCTGTACCTGGGGCACGGCCACTCTGCCTTCATCCATGTGCCTCCTCTTGGGAAACCCTACAGCAGCCAGGATCTGGGGCGAGCTCTGCAGGCCGCCGTGCAGGAGATGCTGAAAATACTGGAACTGGATCCTGAACACAACAAGCACTGCAATCACGAGCAGCATCATCATCATCATCATCAGCATGACCACGTATGACTTACAGGCAGAGTGCTGGTTGACTATCTTGGGGTCAGCACTGTGCTGACCCCAAGATAGTCAACCATTAGCTCCAGAAATTAATGGCCTTAACTGGGTGCTTTTACCTGTAATATCCGTGCCATTTGTAAACCATGTTAAAAAATATTGAACTTTTAGTTTATTCTAGATCTGGTCTTGGTTCTTTACATGTGTGTGTGTGCAGGAGTATTGGGCACCTGTGAATATCAACCATTCCTCTTCCTCGGACACAACTGTGAAAATAGATGTTAACAACAATTATAGTTGTATTAACATTGTATGATGTGAAAGGGGATTTATGTGACGTCTTTAACATACAATAGTAGCTGAAACGCCAATTATTTGCAACACATTGTGGGAACATTTACAGCTTCACTAACTTTTAAAGCCACACCTTCTGCCTGTGAGTCTGTCCTCTCACTTTCAAGTGTTTTTTTTCTCCAGTATTATACCTACTATTGGTATGATTTGTGTTTGTCTTGAAATTATGCTGCCATGCTCCATTGTATTGCTTACATTTGCATTAGAGAAATATGATTTATATTGAATTCAAATGTTAATATTCACACTTAATGGTAAAAATTGTTTGCTTATCTCAGGGAATATATTGCACACACAATCGATATTAAGTAATCTGATCAATTGTGATCAATGTGTCTGTCCTATGTACAGTATGTGGTGTACCTTTGCAAGGCAAAGCCATCTTCAAACTGTGTATTATTAAAACACGTAACACACAGGCTTCTTTTATTTATTTTATCCATGTCTAAGGTACTGCTTCAACATGCACTGCTTGTACTTTGAAAATAACATCAACTAAAAAATGATTGCTCATCATTTTCCTTTTACATTCATGAATGCTAATATAGGTTTCAGTAAATAATCATAAAAGCTATTTTTCTCACCTTGATATTCTTTTTATCTGAAATCTACATGCACATTTGGCTTAATAACCACACCCATGAAATGTCAACTCCTAAAGAAAATAAATTATAAGCCAAAGCATTTTATGATCTGTGATTACAAAGCCAGTAAGAAGTGAACATTGTGTTCTTTGAGACTCAACTATTTGAATGCCAGTGTTACCTTTTTAAGTTCAAAACTTCTGTAAACTTGATTCAAGGCCTGGCACTGAGGATGAACAAAGACTTGTGTGTGGCCTCTGTCGAGATTTTCCTGAAAAGGCAAGGCTGAACAAGACAACAGATTAAAGTATTATCAGATGAATTCCAACAACCACTTAGGCTTCCATTTTAAAAAGGCAGGTAGATTTAAGGTCTGTGATTTTTCCTAAGACAGTCTATTTTTGTACAGTAAGATGTGAAACATTAGGAAACAATACATTGATTTGTCATGTGTATTTTTTAAATTCTAATATAACACTTTGAGATTCCTGTGGTGCAGGGCGAGTTATGCAATTACTGGGTGTAGTTCATCCTGGTTCAACAGACCTGCTGAACTTGTTCTGACCTGACAGATCTGTGAAAAGAACATGGAGTTAATAGAGGGGAGGGGGAGGTGTCTGAACCCCAAAGAAAATGCATAGATGCCAATGTTAAAGGTTCATATTTACACTGATTTCCCCACATGTAGTGAAAGTGGGAAATAAAGATTGCCTCTGCTTATATTGATCTAGAACTTTTCCTTCCATTGCATTTTGTTTTAGCTCTTACACATGTAGTATGGGATGATTTATGGGGGCAATGTCTACTGAAATTATCTTTCATATTCAATCATTTTATATGTGGTGTGTATATACACTTTCTAAAATATTTCATTATATTCAGTTTAGGACAGTTAATCTTTGTTAACACCAGGTACACGACTATAACATATATTATTCAACTTCAATTAGATGACCTTCTATTTGACTCTTTTTCTTTTTCACAGGGCAAATAAAATAATGTGAATGAATGTGAAAAGGATTTAATTTAATTAGATTAAATCTCTTTGGCTCAACTCCCTGGTGTGGTGCCCTGTTATTACTTTCTGGTTATCAGAATCAGAAATACTTTATTGAAAAATAAGAAAAATAGAAATAAGGATGTAAAAAATATGAGATTTTTTTTACCAATAAATATGATACAACTGTAATTCATAATTTAATTAATCATGAAGGTTGGATCTATAATTCCGTGAGTTAAAAGGCAAACAATTATGAATTAGACACATTTAATGACAGAGAGGGCTTTCAGAAATAAAAGTGGCACATTCAATTCTGCTCACGTATGTCTCCTTGCCTCCTTTCTTGCAGGTGACTTACTGTAGGAGACAAGTGGGCGTAAGGGAGGAGAGTAAACGTGAGGGGATGCAAATGGCATGCAGCCGTAGTCCAAGCTCTCTTACCACCAGTATTTGTAATTTCAGCAGGACTGTGTCTCAGTCATTCATTCTTTTTTTACTGGAATAGCAACCGTTTGGGGAGAAATTGTGTTTATTAAAAAGGTAAAAACATGAGTGTCGAGGCGTACGGGCCGAGCTCGCAGACTCTTACGTTCCTGGACACCCTGAGCTCCGAATACGACTTCACCCTGCCGAGCCAGACCCAAGGCCAAACCCAGAGTCAGCTGGAAAACCAGGTGCATGAGGCTATTGGTGGCATCTCGATGTCAACACATCTCTTCTTCTGTGTTGACAACTACGCTAACGTTAGCTAACAACACCGCTGGGTAGTGGGTACCTCCGGTTAGCATGGTAACGCCTTCCACCTGTTACCATGCTTTTATCCCGCTAACTGGCTAGCATGCTAGCTACCCTACACAGTTAGCAGTCTGACAGCTAGTTTGTCAATGCAGCACTTTAATGGTATCCAAATCAAGATTGACAGGGGTTTGCTAATGTAGCAGATACGATTCATGTCCGTTTTTATGTTTATTAGCTCTTGTATGCACTAAATACTTCAGCGATTACAGAGAGTGGTAGATGCATTTAGTTGGATACAGTCAGTGTGATATAACTGTCAACAAACTGTCTGTTGATGTGACAGCCACCAACACTGAAATAAATCCTTAGCTCTTTAGTTTTACATTTGTTGTCTTTTTGTGATACTATATTTTTTTGTAATTGTCAATAGGGGCCTATCATATTTATTATTATTGGTAAAATGTTTTTAAATGTAATTTTCCAATATTACTTCAGGTATCATGTGTATATAATGTATATATTTGAGTTTATTCTATTACTCACTAATTGTCAGGCATTGTTATTATTACTTTTTATACACTTCCATTTCTTAGTTTTTATTCTTATGATGTAGCCTAAGTTTTGAGCATTTTATGGCACTAATCATTTCCTTCAGGAATAATACAGTTCTTTCTTATGTCATTGTATCCCCTGTTGACATTAAGTCTAATTCATAGTTATAATATGATACCTCTGTCTCCTCAGGTTAATGGCCCTGATGGCCTGCTACAGAATGGAGAAGACCCAGTGTTAAAAGCCGGTCAGCTGCTGGCAGAGTTGAACTTTGAGGAGGATGAGGAGGATGCGTACTACACCAAAGATCTTCCAATACATGCCTGCAGGTAAACACTAATGTGACACATCACAGTAGAACATAATCTATATGGTTCAGCAACACCTTTATAACAAATTGAGTCTCAGTAGGTTGTAGCAGTTTTGTTGACATAAATGTCTGAAAATAAATTCTACTTTTCAAATGCAATTTCTTTAAAATAAAATAGTTACTTTTGAGCACATTCCAAGCAAATACTTCTCCCTTGTTCTCAACCGCTGAACAAACATCTTTTCAACTCTACAGGCCCTCATTCACGCACTTTACAGATGGCACATAATCCAAATAATCTGTACATCTTGTATCATGTTTATGTCAACAAGTGGTTGATTACTATATTTGTTACATAATGTTGAGCGCTGCAGCCCTTCTCATACTCACAGCCTGTATACTCTCTCACTAACAAGTTGGCTGTCAGCCCTTAGTTTCGCTGTGCCAGACATTCTCAGTTGACTAGCTTTGTCTCTAAAAAAGTGATGAATTACCATATCTTTCACCAATAGATGAGTAGCAAATTCAAATGTTGTCATATCGACAATCAAAACACAGTTTGTTGGACAGAGAATGACAGCTTTGCTTTTTTTAGTCACCCTCTGCTTTTCAATATTTGTATAAAATCTTTGATATCCATCAGCAACATACAGTTTGTGTATTAGGTATGCTGCTAGAGTCTTTGCTGTTTAACTGGTTATTGCACAAAGTTTCAAGTGTCATATTAATTAGTATATGCATACGACCCGGTTACATACATCTCTAAGATTAAGAGGAGGAGTTTTTCAAAAGCTCACAACACTCAAAGATAAAAGCTGTGAAGCCAAAACTGATATTTGAGAGTTTTGACAAAATCTAATTTGTGATTATTTATTTTCTTACACAACTCATTACCTAAAAGACATGTTTTACAATGTGCCTTATTTAGTTTCATAATTGCAATCAATAAAAGTGCTGGACAAAAAAATAAACCTGACATTACTTTCTTCCTGTACAAACTATAGTATTTTTTATATATTTTGTATCCTTTGCAAATCCGTACTGGCAATACAGATCTACTGCAATCAGTGTATGTTTGCAATATATCATCCAAGGTGATTTATTGCTTGAGGTTTCATTAATGTGCATATTCAGTATGCAATATCAAAATCAATACGATCAGTTACAGAGTCTCTCTAAGTTGTTGTTCCCAAAAATGGATAAAAGTCAAATAAGTAAGTTAGAAATTGTTTTATTGTGTCATTGCTCTAGACCTCTTCAAGATGTTTGGATGGATTGTTGCATGACTTTACTTTCATTGATAAAGCATTAGTTTACAACACTCAAGTGGCAGTGTCATTTAAATGAGACGTGGTTATTTTTCTTGTTTTGTTTTTTGACATACTAGATTGTAAGCTGGCCCATGAACTTAACTTTCATGTTTTGTGTATGTTTTTTCAATGTTGGCCTCCTTCTGTTTTAGTTACTGTGGTATTCATGATCCAGCCTGTGTGGTCTACTGCAACACCAGCAAGAAGTGGTTCTGTAACGGCCGGGGAAACACATCCGGCAGGTAAGACACACACAGTGTAAGCTAGGTTATTATTGACTCTCTCTGTTGGTGGACTTATCTGAAAGACTACAGCGAGGATCATTTTACAGTATAGTATTCTACAATATCATCACAGCAGGTGTTCACAGCCACTATTATAATACGTCTCGGCCATAAATGGACAGTTGTAGTTATGGAGGTACATTTAAGGGAATAATGTTTATTTAATTCCAAGGGCTAATTTAAATGCATTCAAGTTATCGAAGGCAAATAGGATTTATAATTCTAAATTCAAAGTCATTTTTTATGTTGTCCTCCTCCTTTGAATCAGCCTTAATACATTTGTGTGTCCTTTACAATTGAAGCAGCTTTTGCCATTTTTTGCTCTGATAGTTCTGCCACTAGACTGCAGGTGGAGAGCTCTGCGCAATAAATACATAGCGACACATTTGGGAATTTTTATGAACCCCCACAACTACTTAAATGTTTGTAGAACTTGTGTTTCTATCAGTTGTATGATAGTATATCATATTAAAAGCTGTATAAACAAACACGTGCAAAATTGCATTATTCATTAATGACTTTTCCTCCTGTAGTTCCATGCTTCATTTGTGTCTAAATAAAATGAAGAATGGCACATCAGTATTGTACAGTACACCCTAATCCCATACAAGACTGCAGTGTTTTGCATTTCCTCCCTATGATGCATTAATTGTCATTCGTTCTACTTTTAGCCACATTGTAAACCACCTGGTGAGAGCAAAGTCCAAGGAGGTGACCCTGCATAAAGATGGCCCTCTGGGGGAAACTGTGCTGGAGTGCTACAACTGTGGCTGTCGCAATGTCTTCCTGTTGGGCTTCATCCCTGCCAAGGCCGACTCTGTGGTGGTGCTACTGTGCAGGTAAGGTTGCTTGAACAGGGTTGGTACAAAGTCTTCCAAATTTATAGAAATGCTTATTTGCTTTTACTCCTTCGAAAAATGCACGATTTTGCACAGAATATTTGTGTTTCATCTACAATATCATTGTAATACTTGAAAAGAAACCTATTAACTTAATTTTTGCTTCTCACATTAGGGTTAAGCGAAGTGGATCTATCTAAGCATAAATAATTATGATCAAAACATACTCAAGGTAAAATTAAAAATGCGTAAAATAAACAAAGTGGTGTCTTTATGTCCCTGGCCATGCAAACTGACCTTCCTTGGGGAAATAAAAGAAAATTCCAAATGTGATTGTGTGACATTTCTTCTTTGGTTGTGACCCAGGCAGCCATGTGCCAGCCAGAGCAGCCTGAAGGACATCAACTGGGACAGCTCTCAGTGGCAGCCTCTCATCCAGGACCGCTGCTTCCTGTCCTGGCTGGTGAAGATCCCCTCGGAGCAGGAGCAGCTCAGGGCCCGTCAGAGCTCTGGAAGGTATGTAAAGGATCTGCGGTGGCACACACCCGCCATTACATTCACTATGTCAATATTCTGAAGGCACATATCTCTGAGCGTGGGTTGGGCTTATCTTTACAGTTAACCAGATAAAGTCATATCGTTGGGTGTGATGCAAATAACTTTATTGCGGGTTTACTGATAATTTTCTTTCGGTTTCACTGCCTGTGATACTTTTTTCCCCAGTAGACTGTCAAAGTGAGCGAGCATTCACAACACCAGGGCTCTCAAACTGGAATTCAGCCTCCTGTCAAAGCATGTCAAAGCATGTCAAAACATGTCAACATTTCTTTATAAAAAGGACCTACTGTCTAAATCCTTCCAATTGGAATTAAGGACATTTTAGCTTATTGAAAGAAAGGTGTGTGTGTGGGCAGGAAAATCCCACTGCGACCTTGGAGGACCTGGAGAAGCCTGGTGTGGACGAGGAGCCCCAACATGTGCTGCTCCGATATGAGGACGCCTACCAGTACCAGAACATCTTTGGTCCTCTTGTGAAGCTGGAGGCCGACTATGATAAGAAACTCAAGGAGTCTCAGGTTGGAGAACCAAAAGAGAACATTTATTATTCAGAAAATATTTGTTACATGTATGTTGTAATAAACACCTAAAGTAACAATTTGGAATTATACCTTTTTAACTACTAATCAATTAATCGACAAACTAATTAGTTTTCAACTACATAATTATTGATGGTGATGAAATGACTCTTTTCTACTGTGTTTTAGTTCATAGATACATTGTGAAATACTTGGTTTCAGTTAACAGAAACGTTGCTTCCTAACAGACTCAAGACAGCATAACAGTAAGATGGGACTTGGGCTTGAATAAAAAGAGGATTGCTTATTTCACTATTCCCAAGACGGACTCGGGTATGTGTTTGTATTTTTGCGTCAAATGTTTACATTGTTGTCATCCTGGTTTGTTTAAAATGAATGTTATTTGAAATTAGTTACAAAAAACAGACATTCCAATATTATTTAAATATATGTATATATGGCTATGGTGTGTTTTTGTATTTGATTACATAATTTTGCCTTTACTCCAAGCAGTAATGTGTAGTACTTAATGGCGTTTCCTTTTTTGTCCATCTCACCCTGTAGATATGCGACTGATGCAGGGAGATGAAATCTGCCTGAGGTACAAAGGGGATCTGGCCCCTCCGTGGAAAGGCATCGGACATGTCATTAAAGTCCCTGATAGTATCCTTATGACTGTTACGATATAATAACATACTGTATTTAACCACATTTACCTATTTAATCTGAAAATAACACATGTATCACTTTTGCAAGAGTGTCACAGGCAGAAAGGTCTCTTAGTACATTAAAGTGAAGCTCAACTTAATTATCAGTAAAATGAGTCTTTAGTAACATCTAGTGACAGCAGTGGGAAACTACAATAACGCCCTCAAACATGCCTTTCTCTAGTCACGAGTTGTTTTTTTAAAACAGATTCTTTATTTTGAAAGTGATTAAACAGCTTGTCACTTGTTAATTAATAGGTACATCACTCCAACAATAAGAAAAGAGACTGAATTATACCATTTGTTGGTGCATATATCCAACATTTCTTGATTTCACTTTGAAAAGTGTCTACAATTCCACCTAAAAGTCCTGTTGACGATGTTAATCTGGGTTTTGATTAAATAAAAAATGCTAAGACCCGTTAAGAGAGCTTGAAATATCATTAAGCAACACATGGTATTGTTCATTAACTCTTTGTGTAGCAGTACTATGTTTACCTCTTCCTTGACCTTCTGTCCCAGACTATGGTGATGAGATTGCCATAGAGCTCAGGAGCAGTGCCGGCGCTCCAGTGGAGATCCCTCACAACTTTCAGGTCGACTTTGTGTGGAAGTCCACTTCCTTCGACAGGTATTCAGAAACAAACCCACACACACCTTGCTGTGATAAATGTTGATGGAAGACTTGAAACCTAGCTTTATGTATCAGTTAAGCCAATCTTAAGTTGAGTCATTTGGTTAAAGTAGGAGCCAGAGTGTATACTGTACATACAATCAAGAGACTACATATTCATTTCCTGTTTATTTTTGTTTATGCATATTCAGTGGAAGGTCAATCAATCAATCAATGTTTATTTATATAGTCCAATATCACAAATGTTACATTTGTCTCAGTGGACTTCACAGTTTGTACAGAATATCAGTATGGCAATACGACACCCTCTGTCCTTAGACCCTCACATCGTACAAGGAAAAACTTCCGGAGAAAACCCACAGTTTAAAGGGAAAATGGGAGAAACCTCAAGGTGGCTTTTAAATGCTTTTTGCATTTCACTAGTCTATGAAGTCTAACGTTTTTAACGTGCAATGAGTCACTTTGCTCTGTATTTACTTGAATATTTGACACCATTGTTTATGAAATGTTTTATTTTTGGAAAAAGTAAATTACTACCTTAATGTTTTCAATGACTCATTCTGGGCAGTTAGTTTCTGCAAAGCTTTTCCACTGAATGACAAGTCTTTTTTTGGATCCAGCAAACAACTTGATGTTTATATTCCTGTCTTCATCACCCAGGATGCAGAGTGCCCTGAAGATGTTTGCTGTGGACGAGACTTCAGTGTCTGGTTACATCTACCACAAGCTGCTGGGACACGAGGTAGAGGACGTGGTGATCAAGTGCCAGCTGCCCAAACGCTTCACTGCTCAAGGCCTGCCCGACCTCAACCACTCACAGGTGAGTTGGAGGGACGAGGGGAGAAACTGCTTTAATATAAAAACAGGAAAGTTACAGACCACATAAACAACATGACAGATACCATGCACAGTTCACTCCTATTCCTCAAGTGCTTCCCAAAATTCAAGGAATGCAACTATTCATATAGCTACTGTATGAATCCTTTGTGTCTTGGCTGTTATGATGCAGGTGTACGCAGTGAAGACGGTGCTGCAGCGTCCTCTCAGTCTGATCCAGGGTCCTCCTGGCACAGGGAAGACGGTCACCTCTGCCACCGTCGTCTACCACCTGGCCAGACAGGGCAACGGGTAAGACACATGGAGAAGTATTTTACTGCTTTGTCTGTGTTTTTTATCTGTGGGCTGGTTTCATTTAATTTCAAACCTTTATTTATGCAGGTGAATCCCATTGAGATCATTGATCTCTTTTTCAAGGGTGACCTGCTGCAAGTAGGTTCCACATGAATACATATAAACATAACAGAAAAACAAAAAGGACAGCATATTTACAGCGACTACAGTTTACATAGCTAGTAACATTTACAGGTTCCAACAACCTGTTGGAACCTCAACTGGTACTATCAGAAATAATACCCATCTCCTTGGTTATAAAATTAGTATTTGGTTTGAATGTTTTTATTTAAATGGTCTGTACCCAATGCATTTTATTTACATTTGAAGCTTTTATTGAGGTTGTTGAATGATCATTGTTGAATTTTTTTATGATGTCTTCACCCTGAAAAACAATTGTGTGTGTGTGTGACAAACAGGAGAGCCAAACTGTTTTGTTTTTTGGAAAGTCTGCCTAAACTATTCTCCAAGAATATCTTGGCTTTTAGTTTTGCCCCCTAAGACCGCGTTGTGACTTTTGTTCCTGCAGGCCAGTGTTGGTGTGTGCTCCCAGCAACATTGCGGTCGACCAGCTGACGGAGAAGATCCACCAGACGGGCCTGAAGGTGGTGAGGCTGTGTGCCAAGAGCAGGGAGGCCATTGACTCGCCTGTGTCCTTCCTGGCTCTGCACAACCAGACCCGCAACATGGACAGGTAACAAACTACTGGCTTTGATCAATACAAAAACCTGTGTGTGGTTAACTGTGAGTACAAGTATCAGATTTATACTTATATACACACACCATCAGTCTTAAAAAACGTGTCTTTGAAAAACAGAACTAGTATCGAAACAATTATATTTGATAACACTAAAAGCATGTTGTTGCTAAGCAGTATCATATCATACAAGTCCTGTTGGAGACAAATGTGTTAATGTTTTTTAGCAACAAATGTGAATCCAGGAAGTACAAATATGATAATTATTGGAGTAATGGTAACATCTGCTCACAGGCATGGTTATGAACTTATGAGTTATGATTTCTGCAGCATGCCAGAACTTCAGAAGCTGCAGCAGCTGAAGGACGAGACTGGAGAGCTGTCGTCCTCAGACGAGAAGCGCTACAGAGCTCTGAGACGCGCCGCCGAGAGGGAACTGCTTATGGTATGAAGAATGGTCTTATGCAAGACCTACTACTGACTGTTTGTGACACTACAGGGCTATTTTAGTTTAGTAGTTTAAAGGTTTGAAGCCTCATTCATAATGTTAACATTCAAATTGAGATATATTCCAGTGGTGATAGGAGCTTGTAAATGTGTGTAAGTATGGAGTTAGTACAGCCCTTTCACATTTAATAGTGATTTTCAAGTGGCATATATTTTTTAGGCTAATCAGTTCAGGCCTACTGAAAAGAGTGTGTCATGGTAATGGTTTCTAGAAATCTCAAGAATCAAAAAGACTTAGAAAAGTGTTGCAGAAAGTTCATTAATATTTCTTCTTTATCGCTTCCCTCTTTTCCCAGAATGCCGATGTGATCTGCTGCACCTGTGTTGGGGCGGGGGATCCTCGTCTGGCCAAAATGCAGTTCCGCTCGATCCTGATCGATGAGAGCACCCAGGCCACCGAACCAGAGTGCATGGTGCCCGTCGTCCTGGGCGCCAAACAGGTAGGGTCTTCATGAGAGAAAGTAAACCTGTCTGCTTAAAGCTCTGTCTTTCCAAATTGTGAGGACCACATTTATTTATTTTGTCTTAATGACTTTTGTTCCGTAGTTGATTCTGGTGGGTGATCACTGCCAGCTGGGCCCGGTGGCGATGTGTAAGAAGGCGGCTAAAGCCGGTCTGTCCCAGTCTCTGTTTGAGCGTCTGGTGGTTTTGGGGATCCGGCCAATCCGCCTGCAGGTCCAGTACCGCATGCACCCGGCCCTCAGCGCCTTTCCATCCAACATCTTCTACGAGGGCTCTCTGCAGAACGGAGTCACGGCGGGTAAGATGGAAAATAAACATTTTACAAAGCAATTTTGTTTAGGTTCATTTACGAACTGTGGCCCTTTTGCTGTGTGTTGTCTCCTCTCTCTTCCTGTAAATCTTCATCTATCCTAATATAAAAGTTATCTAGTGTAATCTTAAATGTTTTTACTTGGCATAACCTTAACTGCCTTTTTAAATGGCACCTAAAATCATTCTCAGGCTTCAGTGTGCAGCTAAATGCTCTAAAGTCATATGATGCTGCTCCAAGATATGTCCTTGCATTTTTTCCTCAAACCCTATTACCTCTTTGGTCCAGTAACCCTGTGAGACCACGGAAATAGTTTTTTGTGAAAGGTGGGGGCTGGCAGACTTATTTATCTTGTTGTATATATGCTGCACATGTCCTTATTCTCATCGGATTGTTTGTTTCTTCTACAGCGGACCGAGTGAAGAAAGGCTTTGACTTCCAGTGGCCGCAGCCCGACAAGCCCATGTTCTTCTATGTGACCCAAGGCCAGGAGGAAATAGCCAGCTCTGGAACATCCTATCTCAACAGGTTATACTTTCTCATTGTGTTGATCAGATAGAATTGGGGAGGGATGAAACCCTCTGTAATGGTCACACATGCAGAGCACACAGCACACACAGTGACATTTGTTCTCTGCATTTAACCCATCCTAGTTCCAGGAGTCTAGTACTAGGAGCAGTGGGCAGCTATTGTACAGCGCCCGGGGAGCAATGGGAGTGATGGGGGAAGGGGGGTGTCCGGTGCCTTGCTCAAGGGCACCACGGCAGGGCAGGAGGTGAACTGGGACCTCTCCAAGTAGCAGTCCACACTCCATATTTTAGGTCTGGTCGGGGACTTGAACCGGCGACTCTACAGCTCCCAGTCCAAGCCCCTACTGACTGAGCCACTGCCGGACTATATATAGATATCTATAATGTTAATTTTCACGAGTCAATTTAACCCTTGACTGATCCACATGTAGCCACTAAAAATGACTTGGATGTTCAGAAAACGTTGTTGTAAAACATAGTACATATCACACTCTATAATGTTTCAGTCAAGCATTTGTCATGTATTTACCATACTTGTCTACGCAGGACTGAGGCAGCGAATGTGGAGAAAATAACCACCAGGTTGCTGAAGGCTGGAGCCAAACCCAATCAGATCGGCATCATTACGCCCTACGAGGGTCAGAGGTCCTACCTGGTTCAGTACATGCAGTTCAGCGGCTCCCTCCATACCAAACTCTACCAGGTAAAGCTGCAAATAAGTTTTCAGTTTAAATGTTGTGTGGTGGAATTCATCAGAATAAGATAAAGCATTTAGGTCTGCATGCAAGCGATAATAAAAAGTGTTTGTTTATGGAAAAAAGTATGCAAGAACAGTGCAAGCCTGAATACTAGCCAAGGTTTGCCTAATACTTGCTGAGCTCCAATTCCTATTGATAGAGAAGAAGCCAGCAGCAGGTCGTCATAATGTTGATTCTGTGATTGACTTCATGATTTGCTAGAAGAAAGTCTGTGTTTGGGTGTATGTGTTCTCTTCATGCTGGGGTTTATTTCCTGACAACAAGACCCTCCACTCTGTGACACCCCTGCACTACCATGAGTGTGTTTGTAGGACCAGCAATTTAATGTTACGTTTTTTTTAATGAATAGCCTTTCTCACAGTTATGGTTCTATGATTTAAGCTTCTCAACTCAATGGAGGACCTTCAGTGTAAATAGTGAAACAAAGTGTGCCATTGTAAGTAAGCGACAGCTGTTTTTTAAGCGTGCCAGATACATATGTAATTCTTGATCGTAACACCCCTTATGAGATTACTATGTTGTCATTTCATTATTGTAATGTTATGTTGATTTTTAATTTTCCTTGTTTCTTTTCTTTGTTGTTGTTGTTACAAATGTAGCTGCTGTGACGCAAGAAACGTTTCAGATTTGATCTGATAATAAAGTATCATCACCTTCATCCCCATCATCATCATCATTAGACTAAGTGATGTGGAAGTGGCTCCAATATCCTATAGTTTGTGGCCATTTTCATTAAAATTGTAATACTTGTGAAGAAAGCACAACCAATTTTCTTTAAATGTGTAAATGATTGCCCTGATCATTAGTTTGCCACTGGCCGTGCTTTATTCTCCCTGTAGGAGGTGGAGATAGGACTTCATCCTCTCCTGTGTGAGGGCCAATGAGCACCAGGGCATCGGCTTCCTCAATGACCGACGTCTCAACATGGCACTCACTAGGGCCAGGTAAACGTACACAGAGGATCTTTGTGTAATATCATAAAGGTTTTTCTACTCTAGACATTTTCTATTTACTCAATTTTTATACTCGCTTAATTATTTTTGATATGTTGATGTCGTCAACATATCTTCGCATCTGTTTCTTATCATTAAGTCTTCTGCTAATGTCACGTAGGTATGGTGTGATTATTGTGGGAAACCCAAAGGCCCTGTCGAAGCAGCCTCTGTGGAACCACCTTTTGAATTACTACAAGGAGCAGAAGGTCCTGGTTGAGGGGCCCCTGAACAACTTGAGGGAGAGCCTCATGCAATTCAGCAAGCCCCGCAAGCTTGTCAACACCATCAACCCTGTGAGTTTAGTGTGTGTATTAAACAGAGAATAAATCTAACATCAGGGTTTAACTGGGTCATGAAACTGTTGTTTTCCGGTGGGGAATGTGAAGGATTAAGATGCGTTCATTTACTCATGCAGATGGGACAAGTCTAAAGAAACGGGGTAATAAATCAGTGTTCATGCAAAGATGATGAGACATGTCCTAAAAACACATTTAAAATAGCTTTTTAATTTTTTTGCAGGGTGGACGATTCATGAGCACAGCCATGTATGATGCCAGGGAGGCTCTCATTCCTGGATCTGCTTATGACCGCAGCAACGGTGAGAAACTGTTAACCAAATACCTATCATTATTTTTGAATGTTAGAAAAATACTAATTAACCAATTGCAAACATGTTGAATGTGCTTGCTTAAGCATTTCAAATACAAAAACAAGAACCATGTTTTAGATTTAAAAGGAAGTAATACTAACCCGTACTGCTTTCCTCTACAGGACGTTCATCCAATATGTATTTCCAGACCCACGACCAAATTGGTATGATCGGCACCGGCCCCAATCCCATGAATTCCCTGAACATCCCCATCCCCTTCAACCTTGTGATGCCCCCCATACCTCCACCTGGGTACATGGGACAGGTCAATGGACCCTCAGCAGGTGAGTGAGACATCAAGCTGTAGCTAAGTGTGGCATGCTTAAAAGGCCCTTGGTGCTATGGAACACTTATAACACAAATATCCTGCCTCCAGGTCGAGGTGGAGGAATGAAAGGCAAGGCAGGCGGTGGAGGAGGAGGCGGGAATCGAGGTGGCCGTCAAAGAAACCGCGGCAACATGGGGAACCACAGCGGAGGGAATGGAGGAGCAGACCGGCATGGAGGCCACATGAGCGGCAGCCAGGCCAGCCAGGACCTGGGCTCCCAGTCGTTCTCCCAGGGCCCACTGACGCAGGGCTACATCAACATGAGCCAGCCCTCTCAGATGAGCCAGCCCGGGCTCTCACAGCCTGAACTCTCTCAGGTTCGATCACTGAACTGCCATCTATTGTGAAAACATCTAAATTATAAAGTCAGTATTTAGTAGATTCATGATGTGCGCTTTCTGAAGCCAGTTCTTTGTATTACTGCCGGGTCTGTTTGCACATATATTCCAAGTGTGTGTCCAGGTTTCCCCTTCAAGCAAAGACGTCTTCATCTTGTCCAAACCACTTGCTGCTTTTCTGCCTGGAAAGAAATTAAGGCGTAACTTTTGCCTGGCCTCTTTTTAACTTTTTGTTTTTTTCCCATTATAGGACAGTTACCTAGGAGACGAGTTCAAATCCCAGATTGATGTGGCGTTGTCCCAGGACTCCACCTACCAGGGGGAGCGGGCCTACCAACACGGTGTGACTGGACTGTCCCAGTACTAGACTGTAAGTAATTCCACTGAGGACTGAAACTAAGATGTTTCAATGAAAGGAAATTAATAGTTTGATATTTTCGAAAAAGAGCCAATTCACTTCCTTGAGTTAAAGACGCAATAGACACGTTTTTGCCATAATGAAGTAAATGTTGATTACACAATGTAATGGATATAAACTGATGACACTATCACCATCTTAGTTGATTTCCTATAATCCTCACTATGCAATTCAGTCTGCCACAGGGTATGTCCTGGTAGAATTAAGTCTTGAAGCAGTGAGTCCTGTGTTGCTGCAAGAATCACAATATGACTTTGCGACAGCAAATCCAACAAAATGTATACTTGGAAACCTTAGATGGCAGGGGGAGTTATCTGTTGCCACTTAAACCTGTAGAAAAAGTGTAAAAACAACAGTTGCTCAATGATGGAGGGATAAGTGCCAGACTATTTCTTGGCAGAGGCCAGTAACTTGCTGGAGTTTCTTTGCTTGTTGGCAGCTTCACATTGAAGACTTTAAGAAGTCACTGCATCTGACAAAGAAATAGTATATATATTTAATATATGTGACATAGCATGTAGATAACTGGTGGGTGGATTTTGTTACCTAACTAGCTAGCATTCCCCAGATTTCAGTCTGTGTGCTAAGCTAACTGCCCGCTAACTCCAGCCTTATATCTACTATATAGATGTGATTGGTATTGACTTTCTTATTGAACTCTCTGCTCTCACTATTCTTTTAAATAAAGGGTTTATCTGTTTATTTCTTAAATGATAAATGAATATTTCCTAAAACAAGTATTAACGTGTTTGTTTTTTGTATTTGTCTCACAGGTTGCTGGTAAAGAGCTAGGCCTATGTGAAGCTTAGTTCAATGGTATTTTAATCTGGGTAATAACAAAAAAGAACAAACATGGATACCCGTTTTCCACTGCTACAACCGAAGCACCACTGTGTGAAAGTGACAGGAGAGAAACCGTGAGAAACCAACGAATCACAAGTGTGAGAGCAAACATGGGAGTAGAGCTGGACAGGAAGCGAGCAAGAGACGAGGAGAGAAGGCACTGCTGCTCACACGCAAGGACATGGCGAAGGAGAGAGCTGTCGTTGTCGGAGCAGCACAGTCGGAGAAGCAAGACCTTCGACAGGTCAAGGAGGGTGGAGGTCCCAACAATTCTGGAGTCGGGAATGGGGGGGCGACTGTGTCATCTTGTCCCTCGCGAGTCCCTGAACCCTCTGAGATCTTCAGGCAGTAGAGGTTGGGAATCTTGCTCCAAAAGTTGAGAAAGATGGAGGAAAAGTGTCTCTCACAAATGTCCTCCAAGCTAACTCAACAGGACATCTTCTGTAGCTTGGAGAGAGAGAAGACAAAAGGAGACACAGCTCTTGAAGCAGTTGTTATGGCAACTTTTTTAAACTCAAAGCTTGAATTGAGGCTCTAAATATTTAACATCGAAGCATCCAGGAGAGATGAGTGTGAAAACACTGTCTGGCTTCTCAAGTGAACTCAAAAGTGCTTGTCGTGCCTCAAAGAGTTCCAATGAAATTTGAGGATAATTTGCTTTTCTTTCTCAGCTTTGAGTTGGAAAGTGTTCTAAAATAAAAGCTGTTTTCATTGAGGTATTCAGTGATGTAAGCTAGTGTAGTAGCCGTCTTTCAAGGCAGGGCTTTCTCGAGGCAGTCTGCAAGGATCAAGTGGGGGTTTTAGCTCTTACAGATATAAACATAAAAGACACCTTTGTCTCCAGATCTGAGGCTCTAAACATCTGAATAAAGAGAGACATTTTAGTTTTTGCTCTTCTAAATGTATCTTTAAACTAGTGTTAAAGAGTGGGTGAACACTCTAACTTATGACTGAATTAAGCTGTCATTCTTTCCTGCTGACCCTAAAGCCACTAAAGCTTGCAGACAGGGATCATCTTGAGCATCTATAGCAAAAGGCATCAAAAAAGCCAAATCAAGAGGGCAGCAAAGACCCTGCTCCAAAACAAAAAGAAACTGCATACATTGAGATTATCTCTGAAAATAAATCATCTTGAGTAGACATAACTACTAACATACTATACATAACTACTCTGTACCAATGATGAGTAAAACCTCTAGGTTCCGATCCGATCTTAAAACAAATGTGTTGAAAAGAAACGTGATCATAGTTTTCACCATGTCAGAATGGTAAGGGATATTAAGCATTTTGAAATGCCCATAGCAAAGTTATATGTTGAACGTGCACTGTAACCCTAAAATGTGGCATAAAGAGCTCTTTAAATGATTACGATGCAAGGACAAAAACTTAACATTGTCGTCTTCCCCTATTTGTTTCCGTCCTTTGGTTTCCTTAAGTGTTGAACTAATAGAAATATGTCAAACTGTCACATATAGTTATGCATCATGCCAGAGTTGTATAACTTCAAAAGACATTAGTGAACTTTGATTCAGAGCTCTACGTGTGCCGTTTGGTCTTATTTTACATGTTTTAGATGGACAATGTTTCCATGAAGCTTGTTATAATCACTTTGTAATTGTTTTTAGTTGTACTTAGTTTAGTTTCATGTCGTCAGTACAGTATTATATATTGATAATATATAACACTTTGGCCAACTTTTATTGTAATAATATGTATTTATTCCCCCTTTCTGTATATTCTCTGTAGATTAGTTTACTCTTAATTTATCTCACAACCTATATGGATAAGATCACCATTCCCATCTAGATGCTCCCTATTAAGATTATCATGCATTTCATTTAATGAATAAAAGTAGTTTATTCATTTTTCCATCTTATATTTTCAAATGAAGGAATTTGTTTGGCCTATTGCTGTTAACAACTGAACTGAAAATTACGTTTTGTGTTTGGAACATTTTGTATTTCTGCCCACAAGATTCTCCTGTTGATATTCTTGGAAGATTACAATTCCCTTCTTTGCTGCTTCAACTTGACTTCACTGTTGTATTTCTGTGTTAAAGCCTCCATGCCAGTAACAGGCATTATGTCTGTATATCTTCACATTTGGCACAAAGTTTACTTGGACTCAAGCAAGGATGAATTGATTTTAATTTGGTAGTTAAAGATCAAGGTCATTGTGATTTAGTAGATTATTCATATCTCACGGATGCAGACATTAATTATGAAAATGTTACGCAAATGTCTAATAGAATAATGAGGTAATCACACTTCTGACATAAATGGATACACTGGTGGCGGAGGTATACATTTTCTATTCAGGACTAATTTACTCATCATTACTGTCATGTATGCTCTCTTAAATCCGAACTTGCAATTTCAAAAATGTATGAATTCAACATTTCAAAAACTATTTATAACAGCTTTAGGCCCGACCCCTAAATGGACGTATTTTTAAGTCATGACTTTCCTCGGGGACTATATTATATTAAGCCTTATAACTGGTTCGCGCCAAGCAGACTAGATCCGGTTTGCAGTATGCACCCATGCAGGCTCATTGGCTGCAGGCAGGTTGACACTGTTTCCCTGCCTCCTGCAGCTGTAGCGGTGCTCGGAGCCTGTGGAGCCAGCAGGTGGTACTCTACCGTCGGCGGAGTCCCACTGTTGAATGCGTGCAGCCGGCTGGAAGAAAGCTGTACAACTACAAAGAGGAGAGAACTGAGCAACACTGAGGAGGGCAGAAACAAAGAGGCTGTTTGTTCTCCAGCGGAAGATGGACACTCGCAGGAACGCAGTAACTTCAGTCGCCGGGGTCAGCAGCTCTGCCTCCACCGGGTTGTGACTACTCGGGCTCCGCAGAGGTGAACAGTGGACGCCGGTGGTCAGGACCGGACGGCACGGACACTTTGCGGGTTACGGCACGGACACTTTGCGGGTTACGGCACGGACACTTTGCGGGTTACGGCAGGGACACTTTGCGGGCTACGGCAGGGACACTTTGCGGGCTGCAGCAGGCTGTGTGCGGCGCTTTGCGGTGAAGCATCCCCCTGAAGAATAAAGCATTTTGTTGCTCGGAGTGAAAGAAAGAGCAGACTGGGAGAACAGTGCGGAATTATTGTGAGATAAAAAAAAGGCTCGCCAGAGGTCTACACCGAAATGGGGTGAGTTTGCCTATTTAATTAGGTTTAAAACGAAATGTTAAAGCAAAGAGTTTGGCTTTAATGTTTATATTTGAACCGTGGGTTAATGGAAGCTGCAACTCTCTCCTGTGTAGAAAAGAAGCCACAGCCACCTTTTAAGATGTTTCCTCACCACAGAGAAAGGTAAGAACAAGCTTGTCCCATACTACATTTGGCCTTAGGTTGCCAGAACAAATTGATTCTTGATTTCCCAACAAGGGAAAGTTTGTCTTAACTTGAATAATTAGGATAATACTCACTATTAAAACATATTGTATTATTAGAATACAGACTCAGGAAACTTGCATCATCTAAAAGCATTCTTACTTTAATTTGCTCCCGTGAGTATTGTCCACAGTATTCACTGTTACGTGTCTGATATGTGTAGTAATGTAAAGCACTTGGAAAAGCACTGTAATAAATGTAATGAATTATTATTATTATTAAAGCAGTGCCGGGGTTTCTTACCAACACTGATTCAGCTGGGGCTTTTCAGATACATCTGTGAAATGAAAGCCATCATATTCTGTAATATTTTCCTCTGTTTGGCCCAAGAGTCTTCACATTATTTGAACCATCATTCTCATTAATGACTCTACTTAAGATGCTGTTATTGCAGTTGTAAATAAGAAATGACCAAGGAGTGGTTACACAGAGATCATAGCAGGGCATTGATGTATAAAACTGCTAATTTATTGACTAATAATGTAAAACTTATTTTTGATTTGTTAAATATGAATGTGTAAAGGTACTGCCACCAACTGTTTTGTTTGACTACCTGTCTTTAGACTGGGGGGTTGGTTCTAAATGCCTACATTTAGAAATCGGTCCTAATGTACAACATATCTGTTGAAAAGATTTAGATAGAGCAGATCAGACAGTGACAGAAGAGACCCAGCAAAGCAGATTGTGAATTAGAGTTGTTCATCATGAGGGGCAGCCGCAACCCCCATTCAATCACTGCCAGGCTTTGTTACGCAGACCCCCTTTAAGCCTTGAAGGCCACATCCGTCTGCTGAGGATGAAGGTCGAGGGACTGAACATCCTCCAGAAGTGTCGGGGCTGACCAGTGAGCAGAAGACATGCTGAGAAACATGAGCACACACACAGTTTTTATTTTTACACCGCCATAGTGTTGCAACACCAATTTCCAAGTGTCGACACACACACAATGACCCTCTGTTCAAACTTGATAGTGTAACATCCAACAAGGAGGTTGCAGGTTTGATTCCTAGTTGTTGTGAAGCTGAACATGTAGCTCTGGTAAATCCCATCAAACACCAAACGTGAGGGAAGGTCAAAGCATGAGGGGGTAACTTGATGTTTGGAGTGTGAAGTCTTTCTCCACTGCCCTTTGGGAACGCTTCATTCAGAGTGTCATCTTAATGTGCGTCTTTTGTGTTGTTTAAAGGCAAGGGGGTTGACCTAACTGTTAGTATTTGTTTGATGCGTGGTCAAAGTGTATTATTAAGTGATAGTGACTATTATGACATGACTATGACTTAGGATAAGCTGTTTTTCTTTGTCTTATGATGATTATCTGAATATCTTTCAACAGCTTCTTGGACAAAAACAGTCATTTGCAGACGCCCTTTTGTGTTTTTAGGAAACTGTAATCGGCATTTATTTACGATTCTGTGACAGACTTAACAAAAATATTGAGAAAAAAGTCAACATTAGAACTGATAATGTCACTAAATGAATTGTTGCTGTGTTTTTTTAGTGTCTGTTCTTTTACATGACACATCCCTCATGGAATTTTATAGGCATATTGATAAACAATATATCAACCATGTCGGTATGTTACACCTCCAGCACATGACATATTGGCACAATAAAGCGACCTCCTACGATTACGTCAGCCTAAATATAATGTCCAATGAGATCTCCAACAATAGAAATGTAATAAACTAATATAGACTTTTAATTTGTTTTCATAATAACAGAAAAAGCTTTTTCTCTTCTCCTTCTGTCATCAGAGTTTCTTTTTCTATGCTCCTGTTCTTTGACTGAAACTTTAGAAACTGGGGACCATGAAAAGAGATGAGGCGATTTGATAATAATAATAATATATTGGGAGGGATGAAACCCTCTTTAATGGGCACACATGCAGAGCACACCGCACACACAGTGACATGTGTTCTCTGCATCAGAAACATTGCATAATGGGAACTGTGGGATCTTGTATTTTGGAAACTGTACTCATACCAGGGTGTAATACTCGGGATATGTTGACCTCTGTACATAATGGTTAATGGTTAGTTGGCATATGGGGAGGATTACTGTGAGGTGAGAGGGAAACGTACACTTCTTATTATCAGACAGGACTGGGTCAGCTATCAAAATGACACCATTCATATGAACACCATTACAGACACGTCTTAACACAGTGCATGTAGGAGTCTAAAAAACATTTCATTTTACCTTGATTTCCCTGCGCAGAGAAACACAAAGAGAACCTTATTGGATTTGTGTGTCACTAATGGGGTCAGATATAAATGTAAAATGACTGGCCAAAAGAATGCAGTTCTATTGGGAACAGCCGCTGCAACCTACTGTACAATGGTGCATAGAAAAGAAGTGTCCTGGTTTCTATTCTTTTTTATTTTAACTTTGCACCTCTTATGCAATGTTTAGAAGAGATGGAGACAAACAGCGCATATTTAGAGAACAGAAGCATCTTGTCATGATTTCTTTTATTTCTAACAGTCAAATCAATGTCGGTATTGTCTTTATCGAAACATTTCATTTTGAAGACATTTAAGAGAAGACATTTACAACAAACATCTCAGCCCTGTATGTAAGGAGCTGTCTGTGTGTCGTGTTTGTGAGGATGGCATGGACACATAGTCAGTCAGGTCTTTGTTCTGTCATCACATTGACATTAGTGTTTTTCTGTTTTTGTTTGTTATTGATGTTGTTAGCCACATAAGTGCCATGGCTCTTGGTCGATTGGCTGAAACCTCTCAACAGCTATTAGATCTGCTATGAATTTTGGCACAGACATTCCTATTCCTCAGATGATGTATCCCACTGACTTTGGGGACCCCCTAATTGTTCTTCTAGTTCCACCAGGAGATTACATTTTTACTATAGTTTGGTTTATGACCTAATACCTAAAAAACTGATCCATCAGCCTCAGTTTTTAAGGGAAGTGTTGGCATGCTAAGATGGTGGACATGAGAAACATGGCTCCTGGTACACATCAACCTGTGAGCATTGTGAACCCGAGAAGTTTAGCATGCTGGCGTTAGCATTTACCACAAAGTACTGCTGTGCCAAAGTGAAGCCTCACAGGGTCATGAGAATGGCTGTTGTTGGTGGTTAAATGGTTGTTTTGTCTTCATTTGTTTTTGCCTTTGCGTTGATATAAATAATAATTTGAGGAAAAGAGGAACAAAGGAGTTAGCAGAGAGACATATGCTGTTCACACCACATGACTGGCTAAACCGACTCCCAACACTGGGGACTCTGTTGCTTTGATATATTTACCTCGTATCCAGGATACATCTCTGGCAGGAGCAGAGCGAGGGTGGAGGGTGACCGACTCGAGAGAGGGTTCAGAGCGTTTTGAGTCAACATCATTTGCCAGCTAAGTCTCAGCCCTGTATGGGGAATGACGCAGGGAACAGTGTGGGAGAAAGCCAGCCTCTGTCCCTGGATGGCAGATGGAGAAGTGGAGTTATGAAAATAATGAAGGATCTTGTTTAAAACATAAAAGGGACACACTTGGAACAGTTGTATGATAATGGGTTTTAATGGAGGGCTTTTTAAGTGATTTAATGGAAGACAATTTAAGTGTTTAAATGAAGAAAAAGGTAAGGGGTTTAATGGAGGACCATTTAGGTTTTTTATTACGCAAATCATGAGCAAAGACATTTGTCTTGTTTTTATGACTTTAAAATGTTCCGAATTTTGCTCCTTAACATTTACATTTACATAAACAATTTTCTCATCACCATGGCTGTGCTTCCTCCTCCAGGGAGCAGCCAATCTTCAGTTCCCGGGCCCATGTTTTCCAGATCGACCCCGCCACCAAGAGGAACTGGATCCCCGCCAGCAAACATGCCGTCACTGTGTCTTTCTTCTATGATGCCAACCGTAACGTCTACCGCATCATCAGCGTGGGCGGGACCAAGGTGAGGGAAATGCTCCTTATGTGGCCAAAATGTTAAAACAACGAAACTAATGATATATTAACAAAATAATATAAATAGTTCCTGTAGATTTAATATCCAGGGCTAAAATGTGCATTTTTCAACAACAAAAAACACCCAATTTCTAAGTGGTTTTCTCACAGTAGTGTTATTTTGTTTGGTTGCAGTAAAGATGGTGTCCTTGGCAACTCAGGAGGCTATTCAGTATTTGTACTAACGGTCACAAGCCAAACAAACCAGCTTCAAATTCATTTTCCTCGTCAACAGCAGACAGACAAATCTTCAAGGTTAAGAAATATATAGTGAAATAAGCCACAGTAGGCGTCAACAAATCAGCAGCTGGAGCGTCTTTCTGGCAGCTCTATGGATTTAGATTATGAGGGAGGGGCCACATTGAATCGCTGAGGAGGAGGGGTTGGGTCTATCTGATTTCTTCTTAGCACCTCTGGTCTGACCCACATTTCTGATTCCCAGAAGGCTTTGCGGGGGGGGGGGGGGGGGGGGGGTCACCAGCCCAATCCTGCCAGGACTTGTGTCTGGGTCCACAATAATCTCTCCGCTGTCCCCAACATGTTATGTCAAACATGTCAGCGCAGCAATGTAGACCAGTTCATCCAATCATTTGTTGGAGAAAAGAGGAGGACAAGACAGCGTAACTCCTAATCTGTTATTGCCCTTCAATTCTGGGATTTAAAATCCATTATTGTAAGGTTTCAGATGACGTAAAAAGATTTATAAATAGATCCGGTTTAATATATTTTTACCCCGGGGTGACAGAGGATAACCTGTTGGATGTGCTGTTTTTGTGTCTGTACTGCTTTGTCATAAATGTGATTTCAATGTTCCTGTGCTCTGAATCTGCTTGGAACAATAAGAGGTTGTGTTTTGGCAGAGCTTCAGTTTTTGATCATTTTCAGAACAGTGATTTTTGAAAAGAACAAACATGTCTCAAGGGAGGAATTGTGTTTGAAAAAAGCTAATTGAAGGAAATCCCAGAGGAAAGTTAATGCTTCGCAAATGTCACAATAAGCACTGATGTTCTTTCCTGAGTTCTTCACTTTTCTAGAAAACATCGTAAACACAAAGGGTTTACACAGTCTGTTGAGGTTACAAATTACCATTTTCCCGTATTTACAATGCAGGCAATTTAGGTAATTTAATGAATTAAACCTTTGTACCTGAGAAATTGTCTGGTACTTTGATTTGCTTAACATCCTAGAAGCAGTGTCTAAAGGGAAAGGAAATAGGCACTTAACCAATTTTACACATTAAGATCAGTTAATGCGACATGAAGAGAATTGCTCAGCTTGTACAGGCAGGTGTGCAATATATTTAGTAAAGATCTTTCTCAATTCTGAAACCCAACATTTGTAACTGAAAATCCATTATAAACTAGGGTTGAAGAGTTGGACAATGTTGCTATTTAGGAAGCAGGAGAGGTTTAACAAAAATATGATGTGTTAAATGAAGCTACCGGAGTTGCTGATAGCTCATGCTAGCTCATTCATCAATAGAGACAATAGTGTACCCCTTAAAGTTAAATCTATGAAGTGAATGATATAATTCCACACTTTTTTCTCATCGATGAGTAAAGCATCGAGTAGGGTAAAGTTAATTGAGTAGTTTATACTTGCTTTGCACCTTAATTGTGTGATGCCATAGATCCTCAAGTGCTACAGGGATATATGTTATATAGTCCTAGAATGAGAGTAAGGTATATTCAAGGCCTGGAAAAACAAAATGTCATATAAAAAGGAATAACATGCTCTCTTATTTCAAATTGTATCTGCTGCTGACCTACATACAGTAGACGTGCAGGGATGGTCATATTTGTTGTCTCTGCTTCTACAGGCGATCATCAACTGCTCGGTCACACCCAGCATGACGTTTACCAAGACGTCCCAGAAGTTCGGTCAGTGGGCGGACAGCAGGGCCAACACTGTGTACGGGCTGGGGTTCGCTACAGAGCAACAGCTGCACCAGGTAAAGCTCAAAGTCAACAGAGGTCAAATCACTGATGAAAACTAATTAAATACTTATCTTCTTTATTTTTAATAACCTCCTTAATCACTGTACTCAGGATAATGAGTGCTGCATTATTAATGATTCATTACCTGAACCCTTTTATCACCCTCTTTGGAAAAGTTCTCCGAAAAGTTTAAGGAGGTGAAAGATGCAGCTCGTCTGGCAAGAGAGAAGTCGCAGGACAAAGAACTGGCCAACACTGCGCTTTCCATCGCTGCTCCTCAGGTGAGGGGAACAAAACCTTGAACAAGCCTCTGCAGGTATCAGGCTGATGTGAAAAGGTTGTCATGATCCATCGAAACTTCCTGTGATGTTTCTGCTTTGCTATTTTTGAGATTGAAGAGTCACTTTAAGCACTGGCCAAGGTTAGGAGAATGCAGCATTTCAGCTATTAGACAGGGCCGCTGTTATTAAGTCATAGGAGGGATGGAAAGAGAGAAAGGAGCGAGAGGAGCTGGGTCACTCGTCTCGGAGGAAAGAGAAAGGGAAACTAGGACGGTGGTAAAATTATCCCATGCTGCTCAGCGGTGCGCCGCATTCACTGCTCTGAGAAGCCTCACAAAAACGGTAATGATGAAACTTCAGTCAGCTCTGGGCTTTTTGATCAATAGAGAATAATTACCCATCAGTTACATCTGCTTGCTCATGAGAAAAATGCCCATTTCCTTTTTAATTCTACGGCTGAACAGATTCCAAGTGATGTCTCTCGCTCCACGTCCTTTATCGACTTTGGAGAAATTGCAGACATTTGCCAACTGCGATTATTTGTGCTTGATTCTTACTAAGTAGCCCTGAGCTGAATAACTGTTGTGGTTGACATATTTAGAAAAAGTTCTTTGTATGGTGAGCTTTGTGATGACATGTTTCTTTGTCTGTTTCTTTCTTCCTTTGGATTTCCTCTGTAGTTCTCACAGGTGAGTCTGTCGTTATTCTTTTATCTTCTGACTCTTGACTAACAGACACTGAAGCAAAAGGAAATATTTGTGCAAATACACTTTGAAAGTCTTTAATTTTTCTTTCCTTGGATATTGAATGTATTTATACTTGCTGTTATGGTAGAAAGATAAGTGAGCATAAACAAAAACAAAAGCACTATATATATACATATCAACAGTAGAAAGAGTTATATATTTATCATATATATTTACGCGATTGTCAAAAAAGAACATAAACGTACACATAAAACAATATTAAGCTCCCGTAGTGCCTAATGTTTTATACATTTCATAAACTGTATTAATAGACTCTACCCACCAACTGTGTTAATCACACACCGTCTCACCTACCAATATATTTACTTTAGCAGCTAAATAACGCGTTTCACACAGAAGACCACACTCGATCTATACAACTACAATCCAAACAAGCATCTATAGAATAAGAAATATCAATTTTAAACACGTTAGAATACACTATAATGGACCACACTACCATTATACCATATCCATTACACAAGTAGGCAAAGCTCTTAAATGTATTTGATCAGAAAACATAGCTTTCTTAAGGATACAGCTCAAATCATCATGAGATCAAGACAGGACAATAATTCTGCTGAAGATCTGGAATAAGTTCCCATGAAAGAAGTAGTCTTCTCTCTGGGTTTGTTGATGAGATGCAGCCCCGCGTTGTGATGCTGTGTGTGTTATCAGTAGAGTGCATTTACTGATGTGTTTCTCAGGACCTCTCGGACGAACTCCAGTCTCCACCGGTGATGTGTGTGAACGGACCCGAGGACAAGCTGTTCCGCAGCCAGAGTGCAGACATCACCCTGTCCTCCGAGAAGGAGCGCATTAAGAAGATGCTCTCTGAAGGGTAACTGAGCAACACACACACTCAGAGTGGAAACTGAGGAGACCACAAACACGTTATTGTCCTGTTTCTGAGTCACACCAATCTCACCTTCAGTTCGGGAGTTGTTAAGAATCTTGTTTCAATTTGGTGTTTATGTGATTAGAAAGAATACATTTGATCCATTGTCCACAAACATGCATCTAACAAACCTTGAATTTTCTTTTCCTTTTTTCAATAGTTTTACAAAACAAATCTTAGCTCACAGTTCCATCTTCTAAAACGTGTCTGCCGCTTTCAGCCACATCTCATGGCCGTCATCAGTGGATGGAGTTGTCATATAGTCGTTTCAGTTATCACGTGGTATTAGTGTGGTATTTTAGTCACCTAACACCAAGTTATACCCAACTCCATGAGAACTACATCAAGTTAAAGATGTAATTTAAAACGGCCCTATTATGCTTTTTGGGGTTTTCTCTTTATATATACGTTTTTGTGCAGGCTATAATTCCGAAGTTCACGCCTAAGGGAGTTTCTTGCCCCCACTCCCTTCCTGCCTGAAACGCCTTGATTTGAGTCCTTTGTTTACTTCCCTAACATAATGACATCACTATGTAACACTCACGCTTCTATTGGCTAGCGCTCCAACGCGTTGTACGTGATATGCTAAGGGGAGGGACATCTCTAAACAGAGCCGGCCAGCTAACCAATCAGAGCAGACTGGACTCTGGTTTCAGACAGAGGGTGAAAAGAGGTGCTGCAGCACAGGCAACATTTAAGCCTTCAAAAATGTTACTGTGCTGTCACAAAATACAAATATGAAACCTAAACATTTGCATAATACTGCCCTTTAATCAATGCAATTCATTGCATTTGAGCATGTTATGCATCACCTTTAACATCCTACCTCTAAGCATTAACATGTTTTTTTATTTCAAGGGTTGATTACAGTTTGACGTCATTAGATTTGTGAAGCGTTTGAGGGAGAGAAGGGGCTCCTGTGGACACATGTGACACAGAGTCAGGCTCGTTAACATCCCTTCATAAGTCGGGCTGAGCCACCCACTGTGCTTTTATTTCCTACAGTCCAGTTACTACGATAGAAAACTGCTCCTCAGTGGTTGCCATGGTAAACTGTTGCCATGGGACAAACTCAAGCTTCTAGATGTCAAGGGAACGAACAAAGGCGAAGGATAAAGGAAGCAACGAGAACATGACTGATCTTTTCTGCAGATTGTAAGGAAAAGGATTGACATTTAACCGTCTCCTATGTTAATAATTTATAGAATCAGATAGTATATCATAGTATAGGTGTCCACATAAAATAGGAATAGTTTTACAATAGATGTGCCACATATCAGAACTCAATACATTATTAAATGCTCTGCCAAGTAAGATTTCGATTTTTAGCCACACAGATTTGATCTGAAACCATTTAACACAATTGTACTGGAAATACATGTGAATAACTACACAAAAGAACACTGTATGATGCCATTTTCCTTTCACAACAATTTGCAATGGCAACTGTTTCTTCTTCTTTGTTCGCTGATAGATTCAATTCAATTTGACTATCTAAATTATAGGGACATGTCACAACTCTTATTTACGTGAAAAAAAGTACATTAGTGTCACATTCTGTCTTATGATGAAGATGACTAAATATTTAGAGGAGTATTGTAGGGACAGTGTGCTCTCTTTGTTTGCACTTTTTGCAATTGTTGCTTTGTTAAGACCTGTGAAAAGATCAGTCTGCAATATGAATGCTGCTGCAGGCTGCATTTCTTGGTATAGGCTTCTTAACTCTTCTGTTAACCAGGCCAACATTTTGTCATCCAACACATTCACAGCAACCTCAAATATTCAGTTTGTTTCAATATTGCGTGTTCTACATCGAGACAGTTTTAAGCCATATTATCACAAGGCTTATTTACACAGTATTACATGAAACATGGTTCACTTGCTCACAGTTGTGTGTGTTTTTTTTTTTAGGTCGATCTGTGAGATGAACCTGGATACCGAGCTCTTCACTCTACAGGACAGCAACACCAAGCTGGTGGCAGCGCTGCATGAGGCTAATGCTAACGTGGAGCAGTGGAAGAAACAGCTGGCAGCCTATCAGGAGGAGACGGACAGACTCAGAGAGCAGGTGACCCTCCAATCGAAACACAGCCACTTTGGGTTGCTCTCCTTAAGTGCACTTACACTGAACATTGAATTAGCAACTATTAGTATATTCATTGAAAAGCATAAATTAGCCCATAGATCATTTTTGTGTTTATATCTTCATGTCAGCTATCTCAATCGACTAGCAAACATTGTGTGTTTTAATCTTGTGATAGATGGAGATTAAACTTGACTTATGTCATGAACTATAGAGACCTCTCTACCAGAATTGAGTGTTGAAACAGATATGTTCAAAGAGAAAACTCCACTGCAGTTACAGGGCTAGACTTTATAAATGGCCCGCTGGCCCGGAAGCACTATTTATGGCGCTTTTCCACTGCAGGACCTAGCACGGCTTAGCACAGCTTAGTTTGGCCTTGGTAGGCCAGGCTCACTTTAAGCTGCGTTTCCATTACGGCCCGTCCACACTACAGCTTCAAAAAAAGCTTGGAGCTGGGCTTGTCTGAAGCTCGACCAACAACCAATCACATGAATCTCCCGCCCCTGACACACAAGCAGCGGTTTGATTGGCTAGAGCTTGTACTGGCATATGATTTGATTGGCTGACGCTTCCACCGAAAGCTTCAAAAGTTGAACATTGCTCAACTTTTGCAGCCTGAAACGCCAGGAAAGCTCCGCTCTGCTTCCCACAATGCAGTTCGGCGAAAAGTGACGTCACCCCATTCAAAGTGAATGGGCAGAAGCGTTGGGTAGTTACTATAGTAACGCAGTGTAGGCGGGGCGATCGGCTGTTCGGCGGGCGGAGGGACGCTGCGTAAAACTGCCGTCACGTCATCTTCAATGCGAACCACAAAACCAAAACATCCGCCGTTAGCTGTTAGCACTCAGAGCTCACAGCTCCTCATATCTGTTCAGAAACTAGACAAAAGTTAAACAAGTACAAACCACAGACTATCTGTGTCATGGCGAATACAGTCGCTGGTTTATTTATGTCTGTAGGCCGCTGAGTGTGGACGGAGCATATACAACATTAGCTTAGCCTGATCGATCCGATCTCCATTCAGAAAACACACATTTAAAAGGTTTTTCGCCTGCCGTCTTGTCTGCAGACTTGTCAAAGCATTAATGTTTTTTAAAACCACCGGTAACCGGCCAAGCGCCTGGCAAAAAACAATCTTCAAATAAAAGAAAGTCACCGGAGGAGTTAAAGGAGAGTGACAGGGATTATGAGAAGAAGAGGTAAGTGAAGAGTAGAAAATATAAAGGTATATTCGCTATAGGGAAATGTCCCAGCAGTTTAGGATAATGAAGGTTCTAATTTATTATATAGCCATTACATTTCTAACTCCTGATAATGGCAGGAAGGCAGAAAGTGTATTATAAAAATAATAATACTCCTAGCAGAAATGTCACCCTCCTTTTTTAATTTTAACAATGACCACAATATAATAATTGTAATAAACCAAATATTAACAATTGAGGAAAATGAGGAAGAACTGATGATTCAAATGTTGTAGTACAAGTAGTAATGTATAGTTTGTGCATAAATTACTATTGCAACAAATGTGTTCATTTTCTTCATTATTAGAGTCGATTTTTTTTGGACGAATGCTCTTGGGCCAGTGGTTACAATGGTGGGGCCAGTGATAATGAAATTGTACTGGCCAGTGGAATTGTACCCTTAATGTCTACCCCTGAGTTAAATCAGGTCAAAAACCCTTCCTGCATTATTGAGCCAAAGACTTAAAAGTAGATCTGCAACTATCATGTATTTTCTATAAAATGGCAGTAAATAGTTATGCAAATGTGTATTCTGTGGTAACCTGCAGAGAATCTGATGGCTGAGGCCACATGTATAAATCAATGCTGGAGCTGTGAGGCTGTAGCAGGAGTAAAGTAAAGCCTCGCTCAAACAAGAGGAGGTGATGCTGACAGGACTCAGTCACTCTGTAACGACCGAGCCGGCCCAGAGAGGTCATGCTGCTTTTGATTGGCCGGTCACTTCCTTTCATTGGTTTGGTAAGCACTTGTTCAGCAAAATAAAAAAAGGACAAGTTGCTCAGGCGGCTGGTAACACACTTCATCAGTCTATGAAATGACTTGCACTGCAGTTTCCCTCCTTTAATCAAGGCGTTTCCTACTGGTTGAATCAGTTCACCATGCACACGGTCACGTTGCATTTCACCACCAGGGAGTTTGGTGTACATTCCCCGAGCCTCAGGAGGCTTTAACACTTGGTTTACCGCTCAGGTTCCAGTGAATGCCTGCTCCCTCCTCACTCATCAATAAAAGGTATTTTCACATTTGCTGGTAGCTGATTCCTCTGGGAATGTGACCTCGCCTCAGGCTGACAACTACAAACCTCTCTTATTCAAAGCTTTAATACCGTGATCCCTTTCCATTATAGCCCAGCTCCACAGTATTCTCTTTAATTCTCCCCCACTCATCGGTATTGGTATTTGACCAAGAAATTGTTTTTTCTTTTTGATCTACATCATCAAATTAATTCAAACGAGTGAGAACCCTGTCTTCTTTGGACCGAGCTTGTTCTCTATCTAAGGAAGGGGACCAGGTGGCTGAAAATGGTTCACGTCTCTGGGGTGGTGAGAGAGAGAGAGAGGGGTTTGTAGGCCAGCAATATCCTACTTTCAATGCCCCAGTTAGGAAGAAATGAGAAATCACCAGAGGGAGCTGGCATCTACTCTGCTCTTTCTTTTTTCTTCTTTCTACCGCTCCTTCTTGTCCCGACCATACATGGTTAAAAATAATCCAGCTTGTCTCTGTCTGACGCAGAGGCAGTTTAAAAGGTTGTCCTTTTTTGTTTTTTTTCAACAACTGAAATAAACACAAAGAAATCTGACATCAATTCAAAACCAGTAAAAGAAAACTCGTTTTTGAGGACAAAAAAAACAACCTCAACTTTAACAGTAGGTAAACTATTTCATAAATTGGAGCAATTGCTTGGTCCAATCATAACCCTAATCCTCGTTTTAATATAATTTAGACTTCATATTTAAGATATTTGTGTAAATCCTTGTTCCATAAGCTGAACATGATTGAATTTGTTTTTTGGTAAGTTGGCTGAGATAGAGGCCCATGGGGGCCACGGCCCCAGCGACCTGCTGAAGGACGAGCTGACCCAGTCCCTGGAGGAGCTGGAGGCCCTGCTGAAGGCCAAGGATGAGGTCTGTGGTTACTACTTCATTATTATCATCAGCGGGGGTCCGAGGCAGGGAAATGTACTAACAGGTGTCGATGGAAGAATAATCGACTCAAACTACCTTTGAAATCTTTTACAGGAAATCCACATTTTGCAAAACAAGAAAGTGGAGTACCACGACATGGAGCACGACAGGGACGAGGCCATTCACAGATTACGGGTAGGAGGGACATTATTACTACAGTGGTATGCTTTTTCAAATTACATACACATTGTCAAGTAATAGTGAGGTAATCAGAAGTTAAGGGGGCAAAAGGGTGGATGAAACTTCCCTAGTTGATAACTTATATTAAGACATGTTGTATCACTTGTGTGTGGTAATTTGAATACATTTAAAAAACATTAACTTGAACATTGGATAAAGACGGGTCAAAGGTCTTGTTTTTTATTTTATTTTATGAGGGATAATCTCTTTGTATAACTCCATGAATCAGAAAATGCTACTATTTCCATGTTTTTAGGAATACAATGTTATGTATCAGGCTATGAATAATATATAAATAAAACCCTCAATGAAAAACCTAAGAATAAATTTAGGACTAAAACTGGAAAGTTTGGTCTATGAATGTTCTGAAGTGAAGTGAAGATTTCTGGCTCTGAGTATGAGAAAAGATTTTTTTTTTTAATGGCCTTTAAATATATGTTTTTTGCGAAAATCCATACATTTTGCAATACACTACATACAGGTGAGTAGTGTAGACAAATGTATCAATGCAACCATGAAGCATTATATAATCTATGGGATTAGTTTTGTATAAAGATAAAGCAACACTTTCTCAGAATAAAGCAAAACTATGAGTTTAAAGGGAAAAAAACCGAGTTAAGCAAAATAAAATAAATTTCAAAAATTGCAAACAAATCATTTGTGTAATCATGTAAACTATAAGTATTTTTTCTTTGTTTTAACATATATTTTTGTTTGCAGTTCTCTTTGCTTCTTTCTCAATGATCAGACTTTTGCTCTCGCTGCAGCTCTTCTCGTTTGGGTTTGCGCTCCCTCATTTTTTGTTTTCGATTTTGACCATAGACTGTATATATAAATGGACGTAGTGTCCGTGACGTCAGTGACGTCCCCCATAGGATTCTGCAGAGTTGCCGTGAAGCCCTTAGTAGGCGGAGTCGGCCACTAACGGCTCGACTGTGACGTCAGAGTCTAATCCCGCCTGCTCCAAATAAGGGCAAAGAGGCGGAGCCGAGGCGGGACCTGCTGCCTCCGAACTGGAAGTAAACCGAGCTAGCTCAGGCTAAGAAGCTAAGCTAACATGAAATACATGCATACCAAGTTACTGCTAACAGTGTAGTTCCCCTATATAAACGTTACATTCATCATCAAATGAGACAATCTGCAAGAGAATTAGCTATATTTTGTTATTCTTAATGCTTGTCATTCACACGTTGAGAAAAGACGGACTCCACCGCCCGGACCTAACGGAGCCGCAGTGGGCTAGCTCCGGGACGCCGGCTGGAGCTAGCCCCCTGCGGCTCCGTTAGCTCCGGCGGTCACCACTGGGATAATTGGGTCCCCTATTAACATTTGCTCCCGTTTAGCATTATGGGCGTCATAGCCATAGACTATAAAAGTCTTACCCAAGGCTGAATCATAAACTATAATGTATATGTATGCATAAAGGGTTACGTCCTTAGCTGGCTAATAAGTAACAAGCTAAGCTACCAAGCACACAAACACCTGCGAACGGGGTTAACATGTATAATATTATCATTTTAGACTTCTTGGAAGTTCTGTTAGTACATTCAAGCGCACAGCACGACATTTTAATTGTCTGGTATTTGTAACAATATTCCCTAAAAGGCACAATCACCATGAACACGGCTAAAGCTAAAGGGTCAAGTACAGTACTATGACTAACTAACGTTGTCGCCTCTATGGTTGTAGCCTAGCAGAGTGGACAAGTTGCTGACAGTGAGGCATGTACGTGTCCATCAACGTGACCACGCCCTAATTTATGCAAAACTTTAAGACCTAATATAAATAAAAGGGTCGTGTTAGAAAACAATTCACTCACAGATTCATAATCATGAAGGTGGAATCTAACTATATCGATAATAATATTTATTGCATCCATGGGTAGAAACATGTTTTTTTTCTGCTGTAAAGTTGGGCATTTTAACATGGGGGTCTATGGAAATTGCTCCTTTCTGCAGCCAGTCCCTAGCGGCCCATGTATGAACTGCAGTGTGTGGCACTTCCGTATTGGCTTCTCGGCTGTTCCCCAGAGTTTGCCGCTTGATTTAGACACAAACGTCCCAGGTGGGCGGGACTTTCAGGTGTGTGTCCTCATTGGCTACTCAGTTTTTGAGTGACAGCCCACCACACCACAGATCATACAGTGCAACTCATGCAGCAAACTCCGGAGTCCACTCGGCCGTTTGTGTTGGTGCCTCCTGGGGAGTTTTCTTGAACATATCGGACTTATTTTATGGATTGCTGTGCATTACACTTGTGTTGTGTAGTTTATACTTTATTCCAACTTTAAATATTGTAATACCTGAACACACTGCTGCTGTAAAATAATTTCCCAATTTGGGATTGATAAAGTGTCTGTCTATTTATTTATTTTATAGATTAAAAAAACACATCTATGTATTTTCAAGCTATAAGGTGATACACAATATAAACTGTATACTATTATTTTTTCAAAGACATGTTACATTTCAAAAGCATATATTGCTATGTTTAGGACAAACAATTAAAGACTGCTTTAATTGAATAAATTCTACAATATAAAAGTGGCAGATTTGCTTTATTAAACAGACCAGACCTAGGCTGCATACCAACACAATTAGGAACATGCTCACATCTTACTATGTTGGTATGAAGAGCTGAAGCATTCATACACAATGGATACAAACTGTGTTGTCTCATTCTATATCCTGTGAGAAAATTATATACATTTAGCATTAAAAACTCAACATACTATTCCTAGCCTGAGGAAGATATGAATAATCAACAGATTTGAATGGAATCTAACATTTTCATTTAGAATAAAGACAAAAGAGTGATTATACAAATTACATTTATTGAAATTTGAACCAGAAGATGAAGTCTCAAAGAATGTTTTAAACAAAAGGACATAAAACAAAAAGGTGGATAATAATAACATCTATTAAAAGTATATGTAAAGACATTTGGTCAAATGGAATGACACTGAGCCAGTGATAAGTAACAGCAACGCCCAGCGTGGATGAAGATGGTGCAGGTCTTTCTTCATGCCCCCCCTCCGTGGATCTGATGCTGTCCCCTCAGAGGAAGTGGGAAAACGGGATAAGACCTCTGGACGCCACGCTGTCTCAATGATCCACACTGTTAATATGAGGGGAAAATAAATGTTTTAGGAAATGAAAAATATGAAGTTAACAACTAAAACACAGCTCAGGGGCATCATGGACGGTAGGTTTTCCTCAGTGGCGGCTGGTGGAAAATATTTTTGATGGGGCTATGGAAATGGTTTGCATTTTGAGAAATGACCCCTTAAATTATGACTTCTGGTGATGTTAGAGGGGGGGGGGGGGGAGGACAAATTGAGGCTTAAAAATACGAGATAATCTTCAGTGTGGTTAGCTGTGAATCTTCCAAAACTTCCAAATACCTTGTCCTGGACATAGTTTCTAGTATAAACTGCAACAGTACAGTAGGCCCACACAAACTGCAGAACACTGGTGCTTTGGGAACACTCAAATTATTTAATTCCCATTTAAAATCAGGAGACTAAATACGAACGTGTGTGTGTGTGTGTGTGTGTGTGTGTGTGTCAGTGTCATACTTGCCAACCCTCCCGATTTTCACGGGAGACTCCCGGTTTCCTCCCGGGGTCATATTTCTCCCGATTTCTGACAAAATCAGATTTACTCACGAATGTTTCCACTCGGACTTTAATACAGCTACACCATTGTTTGGTTTCCATGGTAACGTGTCTCTTTAGCAGCGCGCAACTCAAAGTTTGAGAGGGTGAGGAAGATGAAAACTGAACAAGAATCGACAACTCCACCCTCTGCTCACTCCTTTTCTGTAAAATACAGGTCCAGCCCACACATATGCTCCATGGTGCTACAGGCATTGCCCTTACAACTACAATAAGCATGTAAATGTTAATCTACAGCTCCGGCGATCCACTAGCACCGGAGTCTCCACCTGCAGACGCAGCCATCCTCGACAACTACTGTAGCGTCACCTTGGATACGAGTCCAAACAACTCACAGACACATAGGCCAGGGCGCTGACAGGGCACCCTTTGAGCATCAGATCTGACGACACCGATTGGCTGAAATTATGTTTCGGCGGCATAGTTTACAGATAGCAACAGTCAGCTTGTTGGCTGCTGCTGCTCTGGCTGAGGGCTCCTTTTTACCGCCCGGACGAGAGAGGGTAATGATACACGCTGTGGCCAGGCAGGAAACATGTGACTTATCAGTAACTTTAGACATCGTAAAACAATTTTAAACGAGATTTTATTGTAGATTATACATTTGACTATATGTATATAATACTATATAATATTTACCTTGTTCATTAAAAATAAAAAATAATTTTTTTTTTTTTAATATATTTTTTTATTTATTTTTAATGACAATACATAAATGACAATCAGACATGTGGGAAGAGGGGGCGCCCCTATGGGCCGGCCGCCACTGCTTACATATATTTTCACTTGTAGTATTTATTCTAATAATTGGTTCTGGTTGTTCTGGGGGTCTTCTGTCCACGCTCAGCTACCGTACCGCAGCTACCTGCACTGTACAATCGCTGGAGGACTGGGCTGTCACTCAAAAACTGAGTAGTCAATGGGGACGCACCCCTGAAAGTCCCGCCCACCTGGGAGGTTTGTGTCAAAAGAGAAGAGCTGCAGCGAGAGCAAAAGTCTGATCATTGAGAAAGAAGAAACAAGAACTGCAAACAAAAACCTATGTTAAAACAAAGAAAAAAGACTTGATTGATTTGTTTGCAATTTATAGTTTTATTTTTGAAATTTATTTTATTTTGCTTGACTCTGTTTTTCTTTTAAACTCATAGTTTTGCTTTATTCTGAGAAAGTGTTGCTTTATCTTTATGATACAAAACTACTCCCACGTTTTGGGTAAATTGAGGTGGAATCTACAACGCAAATAGACAAAAGTTAAATAAAAAAATGAATTATTCATTTTCAGATGTCTTCTTTTGACCCTTGTTTTGTGTTGCTTCCAACTGACAACAGCTTCCTCTCCTCTGTAGGAGACGGAGATGCGTAACGCAGAGATGGAGCGTCGCATCCAGAACACAGAGCAGACGCTGAGTAACTCTCTGGAGGAGCGGGATCGCATGGAGTCTGAAATCCAGAGGGCCATCGAAATTCTGGACATCAAGATCTTTGACCTCAATGACCTTCGCCAGAGCCTGGTCAAACTCATCGACAAATAAGAGGGGAGAAAACCCAACCCAAGAAAAAGGAACAGATGACAGGGGTAAATGTGTCGTGACCAATGCAGCAGGGAGGAAACAAAACAAGATGGAGCTGTCCCTCTTCAACAGGAGCAGCTCCTCGGCTGCAGGGTGGCAGCGTACACACGGTTTGCTTGTCCAATGTAATGTAACGCTTCATTTTGCTTTCAAGGGTCACATTCAATGCAATAAAACAACTTTAAGGTAAGTGCTTAACGCCGCTAGACATTTATTACAAAAAATGGGTGCTTATAATTTTTCACAAGTATGACTTTCGTACAAGTGGCGATGCAGTGTTATTATAAATAAGAGGCCTTGGTTATTTTTTCCACTGACAGGGTATATTTAAACGTCTTTACAACAAATTAAGTCCACTAAGTGAATAAAAGGGAACAAGACTACATTACTATTAAAAGGTTTGCCTGCATATATTATAATAATAATAATAGATAAATGTGTGTATGGTCTCGTTTAAAATAGCAGCTTTAATGTTGTTTTAAGTGAAAGCTGAGTGGTTCTAGATAAGTGCTTTTCCTGCAACAATAAGCAATGACATATTTTTTAAGGTCAGAAATAAAAGTATGCTCATAGTGTCTAATATTCTGGTAAGGCATGGAAGCACAACTTTGGATCTGGATATGGACACCAAAGATCAAATGTGCAGAGCATCGATAAGGTCTTTCAGCAGTCGTCCGTTATCACATCATCATTTAAACTCGTAAGAAACCTTTAACTTTAAGTACGATACGTAATTACACTTAGGATAAATAAGATTTTTCCACATGATTTAAATCAATTATGATAATAGGTAAACACACAAAATAAGTAATCGCTTTGTAATAATAAGTTTAACTAGTCCCGTTTAAATAATCGTTCTGTGCAACAAACTACTGACTTAGTAACTTATTTACGATAGACACAGAGACATTTTCTGCCTTCTCTCATTTCTCAGCACATTACTTAGCTGTGGACAACATGTCACACACCTTGAGTGGCTGTACTGTGTTAAAAGTGTATTTATTAAAAAACACATGTCTACTTCACGGAGTGTTTTATCTCAAAGACTGTATTGTTTAACATTGTCCAGAATGTTTGTATTATTGTTTTCAAGCCTTATTGTTCGCATTACAATCAATATCGATATTAATGCCAGCTGTGTCTCAAACTTTGAGCTGATAATGATGGTTTGGAAATAAAAACAAAGAATGCAGTCATATTATTGTGCTGTGTGTTATGTTAAAGACCATTTAGTTAATTGATGATAATGAACCTTAGCTGATTCATTTGGATGGAATTTGATTTGGCACAATCACAAAAAAATCTTCTGTGACTAAGTAAAAAACCAATCCATTAATTATTATCGCTTGTCAACATATTTTATTGACAATATCCAGTCCCACCTTTTATTTCAGCTTCTTTTTGGGTCTGACTTCATAAGTGTCCTGAGGGTTGACGGCACAGGTAAACGAGCGGACCATCCTGTCACTCTCACCAACCTGTTTTAATGTTATATTCTTTTTTTCCCTCTTTTCTCTTCACACAACGAGTAAGAGTCACTTTGTTGAGGCTACCTTTATCTACCTTTTTATATCCAAGTTCACAATAGCTTAAAGGTTTACTGCAGGGGTACTCAAACTTTTTTTATTAAAGGTCCACTTGTGAATTTTATACAAGGTCAGTGGTCCGGATCAATGCCAGTAAAGTCCCCCCCCCCAGCAGTTTGCGCTATGCATGGGCCCCCCTTGAGGGGGTTTCCCGACATGTCGTTGCAGTACATTAAAGGGTGTTTCATGTTTTCGTTGCTGTGTACCTTCTTAATCTACCTTCTTTGGGGGCCCCCTTCTGGTCCAAGCACTTGCCTGCCTTGCCTGTCGGCAAACGGCGCCCCTGTACACACACACAACACACACACACACACACAACACACACACACACACACCACACACACACACACACACACACACAACACACACACACACACACACACACACACACACACACACACACACACACACACACACACACACACACACACACACACACACACACACACACACACACACACACACACACACTATGGTGGCTTGAACTAGTGGGAGAAATGGCACTGTTTGTCTGTAGCCAATGCCTTGAACCTCGGCAAAAAAGGCATTAGAAGCATTAGAAAGTCAGGTAAACTTGTGGTTAACTTGCGGTCTGCAATGCGTGTCACGCTCACGCACACAAGTAAATGCACGTTCATTCTCACAACGCATCAGACACAAGAAAATATACATTCATTTACATCAGAATCAGAAAGTTTTTATTTTGTATAATATTTATTTATTTTTTTAATAATGGGACACAGGGTTCGGTCCGGATCCGGACCTTGGTCCGGAGTTTGAGAAGCCCTGGTTTACTGTGTACTTAAACTCTAGTACCAACATATCAATAGTGTGATTACAAAGTTAGGCCGGTGTTTGTCAAAAAATATTCAGCCGTTATCAGTGAGAAAATTGCAACAAGAAGGGTCAAACTGATTGTTATTTTGTTACATTATCAAGAACATTGACTGCAATCAGTTTGAGAACCACCATGTCTGTCAGCTTTACACCTAAAGATAAATAAGGAGTTTTTGTTACAGATTCCATGGGAAGAAACAGGGGGTTACGTATTGTAGTTCTAGTTATATAAGCACAGGCGGAGCCCTCTACTGGACTATGGGTACTACTCAACCATGCACCTACTGAGATACATAAACGTAGCCAGCCAATCGGGGCGAGTCTACCTGAATGTGCGCGCAGGCCCACTGTATATAAGGCGGCCACGCCTCCTGACTGTCATCCTACACCCTCTTCAGCGAGCGGCATAGGAAAGACAGGGCCCCCAGGTAGAGGGCTCCGCCTTTGCTTATATAACTAGGGTTACAATACGTAACCCCCCGTTATATCTTACACAGGCGGAGCCCTCTATTGGACTCTATGGGTACAGTGGGTGGAGCCCTGATGGATAAACGCCCTGTCGTTCAACAACATCGACTCATCACACTGCCCCTGACCGGCCTTTGGTTAACAGCCACTGCACCCCAACTTCCTCTCATCCGGGAGACCGTGGAGAAGTCGGGGCCGCAGCTTACTTGGCTGGGTAGAGCACACACACACACCTTACTTCGTGTAGAGCCTGCATGGAAAATAGTGAGGAAGGCTCTCTCCCCGCCTGCCTGCCTGTGGGCGGGCATGGAGAGCCTTCCTCACTATTTTCCTCCAGCCCTGCATGGGGCCTACCGTGCACCCTGTTTCCCGGGTCCCTAAGGAGCATGGGGAGAACGTAAGTGCACCATGTCCCCCACACTCACACACGCTTGCCTCGTGTAGAGTGTGCATGGACGATAGTGGGGAGAGTCCTCCAGCCCTGTATGGGGCTTACTGCGCACCATGTGTCCCTGGTCCCTAAGGAGCATGGGAAAACACAAGTGCATTATGTCCAGGAGGGGGGTCAGATACCTACCGACCCACAGCCCCCCCCCCCCCCCCTAACCAGTCCTGTGTTGCCCCAGCAAGCACAGACGATGAGAAGGAGCCAGACATGTCCAAGAGATAAAACCTTATGATGGGGCCTGGCGTAGACCAAGACACCGCCGTACATATGTCCTCCACACTCACGCTGTTGAACAAGGCTGTTGATACAGCCATACCATGTGTAGAGTGTTCATGGACCCCAATGGGGAAGGCTCTCCCCACCTGTCCATAGGCATGTGAAATGCAACCGCAGAGCCATCCTCTCAGGCATTTCTTGGACAGAGCTTTACCGGCCACACCATCCCCAAAGCACACAAACATCTGTTCAGTGCGCCTAACTGAAGCCATGCGCCCTATAACATGCCAGCACATGCGCCGGGCAGGTGCAATTTAGCCTCCCTGTCCCCAATATGGGGTGGAAGACTAAAGCCGTCTAACTGTATAGCCCTCGACCTGAACGGACTCCTTAGGTTCCTGGGAACAAAGGATGGGTTCGGTCTGAGTGTCGCCCCGCTACGGTCACCCCAAATCAAAAGTCAACTCGGGTGCATCGACAGAGCGGTTAGCTCGCATACTCTCTTGGCCGAAGTCAAGGCAAGCAGCAAAACTGTCAATGATAGTGCCTTCAGGGAGGAGAGCTCCAGAGGCTCAAATGGTTCTGTGACCAGAGCCTCGAGCACCAACGGCAGATCCCATTGCGGGGTGGAGACATGCACCACTGGGCGCTGTCTCCTGACCTCCTGGAGGAAAAAACGTGCCATAAGCGGTTGACTAAAGGCTGACCTGCCGCCAAATATATATATATATATACATATACATATATATATATATATATATATATATATATATATATATATATATATACATATATATATATATATATATACATACATATACATATATACATACATATACATATACACATATATATATATATATATATATACGATTACTCTTTGTAATCTTATCCAGCTCTGATCCCTCCTCCATCCCTCTTTCCTGTGAGAAGTACTTAGCAGAAGCCTCGGTCACCATTTTAACAACCCCGATTTCTCTTATTCTTCTCTCTACCTACACTCATTCGTCTTTGATCAAGACCCCCGGTATACGCTAGTCAGCGCCCCTACTTACACCAATCAGCGTGCGATTACCGTACAGCCAATCACAACGCGTGACGTTATTGGTAAGCGACGGACCCCGAGCAGATCTGGTAGCCCGAGCACTATGGTACTGACACCGGCATGGACTGGCAGGTTTCAGATGAGGAGCGGTGACAATCTGCTGCGATAGATACCCATTCATACGATTAATTAAAATATAAAACGCAGAAATAAATGCAAACTTTTTTATAATTTGAAGGAAAAAAAAACATGTCCCTGGAGGGGCTCGAAACGCCAACCAAAGCAATTGCGCTACAGAGACAACCGTTTCTGCAGTTTTCACATGATTACATTTTAAATGTCAGCAACATTCATAACCCTACTTTTTCTATAGTGATTGCAGCGACAGTTATCACCGGTGTTGTAGCGCCCCCTTGTGACAGCAAATGCGCTCAATTCAAGCGACATCATGCATTTCTCGTTTTCACCGCTAGGTGGCTTGTCATAGGCAACATTGACAACTTCAAATCTGATTTAAAAATTATAAACGCATACAAGATAAGGATATAAGCAAACAACAACCAAGAACACATACGTTAGATGGTAAGTACCGATACATACGGCCTAAACTGAACTTGTATATATGCGACCTGTTGGTCGAAAACAGCTAACGTTAGCATAGCTTTCCTCACGGCTCACCTAACGCTTAATTAGAGGGTGCGACAAGCTAATAAACTACTCGCTAACTAGATTATTTATACTAAACTTTAAAAAAAGATAGAGTTGACCAATAATTCAATTACATAATATTACAACATGTGAGGGCCGACCTATTAGCTTGAGTTAACGGTTACATTAGCATTGGCACAAGGACAGGGGTTTGCAGATAAAGTAACACACTAGCTTAGTTAAACTGGGCAAACTGCTAGCGCGAGCAAACAGTGCACCTTAATTACTTCTGCAACACATATAATTGGAAATATAACTAATAGAAAACTCACCGAAAGTCAGCTAATTAAGTCCCCAAATCCCTCCATTCCTCATGACCAAGGACAAGTTATCCAAATGGTTGGAGCCTTACAGAAAATTGATGACGTGTTTTATTTAGAAAGGTGTGGCCCCACCCTTTAGAAATCCACAATCACAGTTTTGATCTATATTTTGTCACGCAAATAGTACGTGTCCTCGACAGTACGAATATGTGACTACAATTACACACATTTTCAGTTGATACTATTATATTACACGTGTTTGTTATCACATTACATTTCATGATATCATCTACCAGCTGTGTCATCCCGGTGCGAGCCACCAGATGGCCCCGTGGTACAGGAGAAGATGTGTCTGTCATGGAGAAGATACAAGTAACCTTTTTATTCCCGAAGGAAAATGCTGTGCATTCATGCAAAAATGTGAAGAAAAAAGACAACATGAGCAGATCCAAAATATATAAAATTAATGCATTTCCAAAAAGCAGGTAAGCAATCTGAGTCAAAAACTATTAACAGGTGAGTTACTAAAGAAATACTTTTTTAATTACAAAAATTGCATTTATAAAGGATTATCTCTTGTTATAACAGATAATATGTTTTGCTCTAAAGAACCTTT